CTTGGGGTCGGGCCTTGTCCCCCGTCCCTTGCCCGTCTCCTCCCGGGCTCAGGGCAGTGGTTTGCCTTTATGAATGCCCCGAAAGAGCCGCTTGTGAGGAGCCGGCCCTCCTGGCCTCTTCTCTAGGGTCTGTTTTCAGGTTGCCCGAGAGAGGAGGGCCGGCTTCATTTCTGCACATCTCTGTTGCCTCCTGGGTGGGTTGGGCTGGTTTGGGTGGCGTGGGGATGTGGTGTTGCGCTGCTGGATGTTGGCTGTTTTTTGTGCATCAATCATCTCTGTTCCTGCACGATGCTAGACAGGGAGGGAGGGGTTCCTGCTTGAGTTCTCTTGGTTGTGGGTCATGCGAGTGCGATCGGGACAGGTCGCTGATTTTGAGGTTGATTTGCACGTAGCTGTTGATGAGGGTTGCGGCGCGTTTCATCGACCCTTCAAAAGATGGCGCGTGCTGTTCTTTTCGGAGTAGCTTTGAGAGTGTTTCTACCTCCCCCATTGCCTCTTTAAAAAGGCCTGCTTTTGGGGTTTAAAATTAGGCCGTGCCCCTTTAATCATCCGTGTGCAACACACCCCAAAAAAATGTACGCGTTGCGTCCTGCCCTCACGCATATGACATGTGTTTGAAATACTGTGTGCTGTCCTTGCATCTCTTCTTAACTCTTTCTTTCCTCTGTTTTTGGTGCAAGTGACACGTGCATGTCGGTGCAAGTGATGCAGCTTCAGGAAAGCAGTGGCTATCAGGAGTGTTTGTATGTTTTGGTTTTTTTTAGTTAGCTTTTCCTGTTGTAGCAAGGGACATGGGTAGCTTAAGACCCCATACATAGTATATCCTCTATTGACAAAATTGGTTTGTTGAAGTAATGCTTCAACATGAAGTATATTTGTGTTTCAGAAGGAATAAAAGATCCTGGGTAAGAGTCTATCTTTCAATTTAGCAACCAGGACTCATAGTAGAGATGATATCTTTTATTAGAATTTTTTTTGCTAAAAATCTTATTGGTCTTTAATTGCAAGCTTTTTCGGGTGCCCAAAAGAATTTTTTTTTTTTTGCAAAAATCATGTTGGTTAGTAAAGGGTATCATCTCTACTATGAGTCCTGGTTGGTTTTTCCTCAGGACCAATATGACTAAAACCTGGATACTCTTCCAACTTAGAGAAGTCTTTGGTGTTAGGAAACACAACTTGTTGATCTCTCTTTCCCCTCTAGTTGTGTTGAGGTGACCATCTCATGTGGAATTTATCAACCGATGTTAGCTCGGCGGGTGAACAGGAGCGGAGTTGACTGAAGAGCAAAGTGAAGGAGAGGAAGCTTTATGGGTGAGTGAATTCAAGCTGCTTCTGCCTAAACATTTAATTTTTACATGTTCAAAAATAGAAGGTCTGAGTGCCTGTCTGTTTCAATTTCTTCATCAGCGATCTAGATGATGGGGTGGAAAGTAACCTGTTTAAATCCGCTGATGACACCAAAATTTGGGGGGAGGTGAGCACGCTAGCAGGGAGTGAGAGATTGCAGAAGGATCTGGATAGGTTACAGGGGTGGGCTAACAGGAACAGGATGCGTTTCAATACGGACAAGTGCAGGGTGCTGCACTTGGGCAGTAGGAACCAGCAGCACACTTACACAATGGGGAACTCCCTACTCGAGAGCACGGAGGCAGAAAGAGATCTTGGAGTCATTATTGACTCCAAGATGAACATGGGCCGACAATGCGAGGTCATGGTTGGCAGGGCTAACCGGACCTTGTCGTGCATCCACAGGTGCATCTCGAGTAGAGCCAAGGAGGTGATCCTCCCCCTCTACGCGACACTGGTCAGGCCACAGCTGGAGTATTGTGTCCAGTTCTGTGCGCCCCATTTCAAGAGGGATGTGGACAACATGGAGAGGGTCCAGAGGAGGGCCACCTGCATGATCCGGGGACAACAGGGCAGACCCTACAGTGAGAGACTGCGGGACCTGAACCTATTCAGCCTCCACAAGAGAAGGCTGAGGGGGGACCTGGTGACCGTCTATAAACTCACTAGGGGGGACCAGAAGGGTTTGGGGGAGACGCTGTTTCCCCTAGCGCCCGCTGGCATAACAAGGAGTAATGGGCACAAGTTGATGGAGAGGAGGTATAGATTGGACATCCACAAAAACTACTTCACAGTTAGGGCGGCTAGGAGCTGGAACCAACTTCCAAGGGAAGTGGTGCTGGCCGCTACCCTGGGGGTCTTTAAGAAGAGGCTGGATGCCTACCTGGCTGGACTCGTTTGAGTCCCATTTTTGTTTTGGGGTTTTGTTGTTCTCCCGCCCTGGCAGGGGGTCGGGCTAGAAGATCTACTAGGTCCCTTCCGACCCTAAATCTATGAAACTATGCCCGATTGGAAGCAAGCACCTCTCTCTTGGCTACTGGGTTACAAGTTATATCTTAAGATCGGGGCGTTTCTACCCAAAGCCTTGATTATCAAGGTAAATCACTCCTGTGGTATGCTGCTCATTTCAACATCAGACGAAATGCTCCTTTCCAGACAGAGGGGCTTTACTTTGAGTATCTTCTTTCAAAGGCTACAGGCTGCGCCACCAGACTGAAGTCATGTCAGGGAGGGTGCACCCTTTCTGCTGCAGCAAAAGTTTGAAAAGAAAAATTGTTAGAAGGTGAAGTGGTAAACTCTGATAGAAAAAATGCAGTGAGCTCTTTGATGTCGATTCAGATGGAACCATGGCTTTAAGACCCAAAATGTCTCGTGCTTTATTGTACTATATAGTGGGAGTCTGTGGAGCTTTTACCTGTTAAACATAAAACTACCTTTTATAGAATGGCAGTAGGTTTGGGTCATTTCACTCCTTACGATGCTTAATTTCTTTGTAATGGAGGAGCTCTAACAGCTTGTGACCAGAGATACAGAGTTAATCAATTCAGGGAGAAGCTAAGTTTCAGTCTCCAAAGAATTCCTTCTCAACACAAGGAAATCGACACAGAGTTTTCTCCTCTTTAACTCACAATCTGTCCTTTGGACCTCTACTGGATCCAAGAGAGAGTAAAATAGCAAGACAGAGTTATCTTCATGAGTGTTAGCTAACAATATTAGTCTAAATATGACCATGATCCTTTCATGAGGGAGCAAGAGGGCACGCGCACTCAGTCAGAGAGCACTGGAGCTAGGGTGGTGAAGGCAAACTTACAAATCTGAGCTGACCTTTCTGTTATAGCATAAATCATTTCAGTATTTTATGCCATAATTGGAAAGGTCAGGCACAAGCTGTTCAATTTTGACCTCAGTTATGTTTGCAGCTGCATTTCAGAGAACGTAGGGGGATAATTTTATGTAGGTTTGGTCGCAATTTGATTTCTTTCTTTGAGGTGCTTCTTGGGCATTATCCTGAAAGCATAGTATCAAGCTCTTTTCACCAGAAGATCTCAAAACGTGTTACAAAGGAGTTCATTGTCATTGTGGTTTTTGTGGAACAGGCTACTTTTTCCCTAAGATCCCCCAACAGACCAGTGCCACCTGGGAGTAAAGCCCTGAACTCCTGAGTCATAGTCCAGGACCCTGTCCACTCTTTTGCTGTGCTTCCCTGTGGCTTGGGATACGCCATGTTGGAGCTGTTTTTGTATGTTAGTAATTTCAGGATCAAGACCTATCATTTGATATCAGTGGTGTCATGTTCTGTGCTAGATGGGCCATTTTCAGCAATTGAAAGTGCTGAGCCATAGTTCTTTTTGGCTGTGCTTATCAGCAGTGAAAACTTGCACTTGCTCAGCTTTGTTCCCACTCTGTTCTTATGGGGAGCATTGCAGACTCCAGGATGGCAGTGTTTTACTGAGGAGATGAAATTCTCAAACTGTGTCCTCAGTGCCTTTTAAAGGGGATGAGGGGTGAAGGGAATGCTATTTGTATTTCTGTGTTGTTGTAAGCTTTCAAAACACTCTGTCATTGCAGAGATGTGACTTGGGCTGTGAGATTCACTAGTCTTTACAGGTTTCCCCTGCTTTTCCAGGATGCATTGGAGGCTTGTTTTTGGAGCTGGCCCTGGTACTGAGTGCTTCCTGTGACTGCAGATGAATCTCAAACATGGTTTCTTTTGATCAAAAAATGCACTGAACGGATGATTTCAGAGCCACATGTAGCAAACCAGGGCGGATTAGCGAACTTCCATCTAGAGTATGTACAGAATGCCAGTCACCTCACTGTGTTAGGTGCCAAGTAACTTCCGGCTGACATGTGATGCTAAGCTATGCAGGTCAGCCCTACACAGAGCCCTTGGGTTGGGCATATGAGGGGCCCCTGCTTTCTGTTTTTTCCGGTCTTTCTGCACTGTGTGATGCCTAGATACCAAGGTGACAAGCATCTTCAAAATACAGTATGTTGCTACAAAAATGAGTAGGCAAGAAATTATTTTAGGGATGAATGCTGTCTTTGTGCATTTGTGCTATTGATCCATGGCACAGCTTTAACATCCTAATGAAAAGCCTGTCTCTTTCCATCCTGCACGCATATCTGAGTAGCAGTCCCTGCTCATCGCTTTAGGAAGTGGCCTGCTTAAAAGAAGGCTGATGCCATTGGGGGGGGGGAGGGAGGCTGAAACTTGCTGTCAGTGAAGCACTGCCCTTTATGATGGTTATCTAGAATATATCAATTCCTCTTAGGGCCTACACTTGGGGTCTAATTTTGGCTCTGATAGCACTATTCTGGCACTGGGCTTTGGTTTCTCATCTGTAAAATGGAAGTACTACCTAGCCTTACCAGTGTTCTGTGAGGTTTCGCTAATATTTGCAAAGCCGTATACATTCCTTGCAGTGAAAAATGAGCAGTGTAAGTGCAGGATGTTATTATGATATCAGTGGCAATTCAGTCACTTCCACTTTCAAACTCAAGAGTTTGGGTTTTTTTTAGTCTTGTCACAGCCATGATTGTATTTATCTCTCTGACTTTTTAACTGCTGCGCCTTGCATGCTTTAATAATTGCTGTGTGTTATTTATCTCTTTTTGTCAAGTCTGTTACATTGACTAGTGATCATAATATTTGCATAGCGCCGTTCATTTTTGATGTATCCTGGTGCACTTTAAGAAGTGTATGCATATGATAGCGAGGAAGGACAGGCCCTTCAGGGGTGGAGCACCTCAGCCAGGCTGACTGTATGCTGCACAGCTTTGGTGGTGAGTTTTTTGGCTCCAGATCCTGGGCCAAAGCCTAGTCCATGAGGTTTAAACATCCCTGCAGAACAGGGGGTTTTAATTTGTACGATTCTCTTTAAAGCATGCCTGCACCACAAACTGCACAGAACTGAGCACATCTGCTGCAGAAAGATGAAGGGCTTAATTGACTGCCAGGATTCAAAGCTGTTGATCTAGGGCAGAGTTTCACAACCCATGGGTCGTGACCCAAAAGTGGGTCACGAGAATACGTGAAAGGGTCGTGGACAAACTACAAAAAAATGTGGGAAAGCACAGGTGGGTCCCCCCTTGCAAGTTGACAGCATTCCAGCCTGCAAGGGGCTCCTTGGGGCAATCGGCACTGGTGGAATGTGGCCAGGCAGCGAGACTGTGGCAGGGCAGAAGAGGGTGGCAGGAAGGTCTCAGCCTCATCCAGCAGGGGAAAGGGCAGAGGAGAGCTGTGTGGCTGGGCTGGTGGCAGCCTGAGCTCGCAGGGACAAGGTGACTGGAAGATGCTGCCCAGGGGGCAGGAGGGGCTAGGACCAGGCTGCCTGGCATGGCACAGGAGCCCCCCTCCTCCTTCCTCCAGTCCATGCCAGGCCAGATTCACTCCGCTGCCACCCACATGAGCCAGAGCTGCAGCAGCCACTGCACTCTGGCCCAGGTGGGACAGGGACAGCTGGGGACCACTCTGGCATGACTGGGGCAGGGACAGGAGGCTGTGGGTCGGCAAGTCAACCCCAGGATGGCCAGGGAGCAGGGGACTATGGGCCCTGCACTAGTAGAACCAGGGGAGTGTGGGTCGGGACCAGCCACGGACCTTTGCAGATAGGTCCCAGTCAGAAAACGGTTGAGAACCACTGATCTAGGGAGTCCGTAGGAAGTGCTTAATATGGAAGTTAAGATCACTAAGCAAGTCCTTGTAACTAGGGGTGGCAGGGGTACTGTCTTGAAGACTGTTTGGGAGTAAGGGCACTTGTGTTGGAGAAACAAAAAGGATACTGGTATTAATCTTCTCGTTGCTAATATATCTCTGGCCTTTTTTTTCTTGGCTATTTAAAGAAGTAGAATGAAGTCCACAGCTCTCTGCCGGAGAGAGTGGATTAACAGTGCATTCTTTGTTTTCTTTGTTGACTGTAGAAGTCCAAGAAGAAAACATGGATCAGCCCAGTGGAAGGAGTTTCATGCAAGTACTTTGTGAGAAATACAGTCCTGAGAACTTCCCGTATCGTCGTGGTCCTGGAATGGGGGTGCACGTGCCAGCAACGCCGCAGGGATCACCTATGAAAGGTAGGGTTTCAGGTCACTCTGAGCATGGAAAGTGTTGGGACCGAGTGCCTACATTCATCTGAATACAGAAATCCCACTGAATGGCTAAGCCAAACGATCACACTTGTGTTGTTGTGTGGTTTGTCATTAACAATAGAGTTTCTAGGCATGTTATGCTAGCACCCTGTGGGTGTTAATTCTCTGTTTTCTCATTTTCTGTAAGGAAATCCAGAGATGTACGTGAAGTTCTACTGTTCCAAAGCACATCCTTGTGCTAGGAGCCTAGGTACCAAAAGATTTGTATCTCTGTTTTTAAGGCCTTAACCGGAGCTGCGTCAATTTTGCAATCTCTAATCTTCCCACCCCCCCCCAAATCTGGGTTATAGGATTTTCTTTTCACTTTAGTCGTACAGTCTTGGTTTAAGAGGAGCCGCACCAGAGCCACCATACTGTTAACCCTGTTGGTTATCTCTAGTTGTAGTTCTAGTTTAAATTTCCATCAGGTCAACTTGTATCATAAACTAGCCCCAAGGAAGTGTGGGGGTACGCAGGGAAATTAGTTGGATGAAAATGATAAACAACAAGGTTTGACAAAAAGGGAGCAAAAGAGTTTAAGTTCAGTCAAGGACAAAATATACTGTGTGCTGTTCAGAATTAATCACAACAGAGGATCTCACAGATATTTTTGTTGTATCCTCTATTTAATACACTACACGCGTTTATAAACAGGGTTCCATCTTTATATTCTGGGTGTCCCTAAAATATAGTGTCTGCCACATATTCGAATCTCACATAATAGATTCAGAACTCACAAAATATTTCACTGTGTTCATGTTCCATCACTTATTAGCTTTTCACTTCATAGAATCGCTTGATTCTTAGAATTAAAATCTTAAATCGTATTCAGTGAATATAAGCTTTTTTTTCTTTTTTTCCCACCAGCCGTTAGAATCAAAGAGTCAAATGCAGTGAAGTACTGAAACTGCTGAGTTTCTTGATGAGATCGCGCACAGGCTTTTTACTTGTTCGCTTCACCGGTTATTAAAATAAAAAGTGCACTGCCTGACGTGATTCTCTCAATTGGCCGACTTGGTAATCTAAAAATACATCATAAATACTGAAAGTATAGCAGTATCATTTAATGTTAGCCACAATTAATGAAGCAGGAATCCAGAAATCTCATCATCCCCATCTTATAATTCCCTATCTTTACAATGCACCTTTTGTCATGAGGTGGTCAAATATGGCGAATAAAAATTTAAGTATTTTAAGGAAGATAATATCTTTTGTTGCATCGCATATCTTGACGTGCTTTACAAGGACATGTCAGAAAAATTATTTTGTACTTGGAAGTTGCAAGCTGTGTGATGCCTTCTGTCCATCCATGGAATTTCCATGTTGAAACAACTTCCTGCTATTAATCAAACATTCTTTAATTTTTATGTTGGAGTTTCTTCATTTAGCAAAATTAACCCGTGCATGTGTGTGCGCGCCCATTTCACTGCTTATAACATAGGCATGCAAATCTTTACCTGCATTACGACAATATTTTAAGGGTGTTCTGTCAGATCAGAAGCGAAGTCCCGGTGTAAGGTGGGTGAAACCAGTTACACTTTTATAAACTCTGTGATCTGTAGAATCGCTGCCACAATTATTTTTAATTTCAGTGGATTTTTTTTTTTTTTTTTAAATATTCCTTTGCATTTGCTAACTGAAATGTTTCGGCCTTGTAATAAGGCATGAAAGCCTAAAAGTAAACTGTATTAGACATGGAATTTAAGGCAAAATGATACTTACCAGTCTGCTATCATTGTCTGGGTTGAAAGAAATGCAAATAGCTGGTAGAATGTTTCAGATCCTTAAAATAAAAAACCTGAAGTGGTGTTTGTAGCAAAATGTATTATTTAGAATGTTTTATCTTTACTTTGGAATCCCTTTAATATGTAACCAGCACCTGGAAGATGTGAATTATTGAACTGCTTATTAATTCTTTCCCTTTGCTGGATTTCATATTTGTCTGGTTTGTGTGTTCTGAGACCTAGGGATGAACTTACCTAGCTAGGGAAAGCCAAGGCTGACTGAAAGGCATCTTGTTCCTCTGCCGTTTCAGATCGTCTCAACCTCCCAAGCATTCTAGTACTGAACAGCTGTGGAATCACCTGTGCAGGAGAGGAGAATGAAATTGCTGCCTTCTGTGCTCATGTGTCTGAGCTGGATCTTTCTGACAATAAACTCGAAGACTGGCATGAGGTAAAATGACTATGCATGTACCTTGCAGAGCAGTAATAACTTCTGCTCTTGCTGCTTGTACTACTTAAGTTTTATAAGACTCTTCTCAGTCCTTTCAGTGTTGGCAAACGCACCCATCTTCATCGGTTCAAGTTCACCTTCGAAGATTGTGTATTACTCTGTAGCTGTCAGAGTAAATAAGCTCGATGAACGTAACACGTTCAGGCACTTCACTTGGGGATTTGTAATCTCACCCTGTAGGTGGCAAATATTTTTTCCATCAGTGCAGAGTACTGACAATCAGGAGCGTAGTCAAGCGGTCTTGAGGGCAGGTAGTTTACGACCCCGGGGTTCTGCTCCCGGTAATGTTGTTTGATTTGGGTCACATTGTTTATCCTGTCTGTCTTCAGTTTTCCTGTCTTTGAAGCAGGATTAAGAATGCTCACCTATGTCGGGGGTTTTATGGAACTTCATTTAAGGCTGGTGAAGTACTGTGAGGTGCTTGGATGAAATTTGCTGTATAAATGCAATATGTTATTAGTGGAATAAATGCAGTACATTTAAGTGTCCTGTCCTCTCGCCAGCTCATGCTCTACTTTTATCCTACTGTTAACTACTGGAAATTGATAGGGAAAAGACCCAACATGAAACCTTAAGGGTGGTGGTTGTTGGGTTGGGGTTTTTTTTGTGGGGGGGGGTGGGTTAAGTCTCTTAATCCCCAGTTATTCTAACTTCCTGTTCCTTTAAACTAATGAATAGTGTCTTGCTGGAAGTCTTCTCCCTTCAGAACAGATGTTGCAAGGCCAGGGACAGCAGTAAAATCTTCCTTATCCAGCCTCCCCCTCAGCACTCACCGGAGGAGCCAGCTTTGTGGTCTCATCTCCATTGCCGTTCATCCTCTGAGGCTGCCAGCTAGAGTTGATTAGTGACAGTGGTGATGATAGTGCTATGATAACAGACATCTGTTTATTAGGAAGTAGGGTGAAACGAGTAGCTTGTGTTGCCTCCTAAAAGTCCACTAGATACTAGTTCACTGCTTCTTGACTCTGCTTCTTTTAGGCCTACAATATTATTAAAAGCCATGGTCAGTTGAGAGATGCACATATGCTCCCTGCCTGTTCTACTCTGCTTTCTGCTTCCTGTCCTGTGCTCCCTGCCACTGTGGTGCCAGTCTCCTCCCTGATCTGCTGCATGCTACAACATGCCACTTGTGGCATGCATGTTGCAGGTTCCCCCTGCCCCCAGGCTAACCAGTCCTTAAAACCCTTTGATGAAAACTAAGTACACTGTTCCAAAGCTTAACTATTCTTTTAATTAGAAATATCTACTATAATTTCCCCTGGTCGCAAATTAAGCCAACTACTTCTTGTTTTGCCTTTGACAGGCAGGGAGAACAATTTGGCACTGTCTTCTTTATAACACCCTTTCTTCCTCTAGTTGCTTGCAAAAGCAATTGCATTCCCCTCCATTTTCTCTTCTCTAAAGAAATCTGTTCTTTCAACTTCCCTTGTAGATTGTGTTTTCAGAATCCTTTACAGTTGTTTGTTGCTTTCCTCTGTGCTCTCTCCAATTTGTCTACATCTTTCTTCAAGTGTGGTGCCAGAAATGGTATGCTGTCCTCCAAATGAGGCCGTGCCAGTGCCAAGAAGAGCAGGATAATTACCTGCCATCTTATGCATGGCACTTCTGTTAAAATCTCCCAGAATCATATTTTGCCTCTTTTGCAACATCATTACATTGCTGTCTTCTGTCTGGTTTGCAGGCCATTATAACCCTCACATCATTTTCCGTAATACTGCTGCCTTGGCAGTTATTCTGCATTTGGTATTTGCACTTGATGTGTTCTTGCTAAATGTTGAACTTTGCACCTCTCTTTGTTGACTTTGGTTTTGCAGCTCTCGGATCCTTTTGCCAGTTTACCAAAATCATTTTGAATTCTGAGCATATTCTCTAAAGTGCCTGCCGCCTATCATCCCAGCCTGGTCTCGTCCCCAGATTTTATAATTCCATCATTCAAGTAGTTAAATAGAAACACTGAATAGGATTGAACCCCTGTGGGACCCTATTGGATTGGTTTGAGTCTCACAGCAACCCAATAACTGTTTTTGGAGCATGTCTATCGAATAGTTTTGTAGGCCTTTCTAGGAACTTGGTCTAGACCGTATTTCCCTAAGTAGCTTATGAGAATAGCCAGGCTTATGACAGTGCCCATGACAGTGACAGTCTTTCACTTCATCTGTTTCCCTTCATTTGCTAGGCCCATTGCCCTGTTGAAGAAGAAAATTAGATTGGTTTGACATGATTTGTTCTTGTCCTTCTCTTATCCCTTAGATGTTTACAAATTGACTGTTTCATCATTTGTTCCAATATCTCTATACATGTTGAAGGTATTTTAGACAAATACCTGCCTAGTCTTATGCCCTAAATCTATATTCTGCACCTTTCAGACATGTGTGTGTCTAGCTTCTCTGTCTTCCTAATCATTCACCCCTTACTCCCTACTGATATACTTCCAGGTGCACACCTGGTACATACCAACAGCACAGCTAGCCCCAAGCACTGTTACACGAATGTTCAGTTTTGATTCATAACCTTCCAGCTTCAGCACCATGTGTTTAAGAAAGATGTTTTCCTGGAGTAATGGAATCTAATAAGGAATTCATTGTGTGTACAATGAATTTCTATCAGTCTTTTATTTTGGGCTCATAGGGAGCAATGGAAAACTGAGCAATTGATCTGTATAACTACCATAAGCTCAGAGGCCATGCCTTTCCTTCTTTGCCCAGCGAATGGTATAGCAGCCTTTTGAGATGCTGGCTTCTCCTGTTTGCTGTTTTGTAGACTGGTGCTCAGGTGAATTTTATGACCTCTCCCAAGGGATCTGCTTTCCCTTATCAAGTTGTTCTAAGAGAATAATTAAATGAACTGTTGAGGTGAATGAGCAATTAGCCAATCAATCTAGATCAGTGAATAGCTGGAGTATGAATTACGGATAGTTATCAAGAAGCCCTATTTTTTTACCATATAATTTCTTTGGCACAGTCAGACTGGAGGGTCCCTTTAGGAGATGAAATTTTATTGCACAAGGTCTGATTACTTCCTGATACACTACCTTCCCTCTCTCTCTCTCT